CCCCAAAACCCCAAAACCCCATGAGGTAAAATCTAATGAAATTTTTCATAGCTTGAAATTATATAAAGAAACTAATTTATATTAAATTTTAACTTGAGGGTTATGGAAAATTATATAATTAAAAATTATTCTTCAAGGTTTAGGACTTTTTATTGACATTCAGATTAATCACAGATGATAAACTCTACCAAAAATATCCTGGTTTCTAATCAATCAAAAGTGTTGGTTAATTGAAATTCTATCAATTAGTAATTATCTTATAGGGTGAGATAGAAAACTATAAATAATAACGACTAATCTGAAGAAGAAGCAGAAAGAAATTAGAATGATCCTTTTTTCTAGTCTTAATTTGAGGTCATCAAATTTCAAGGGAGTAATAATTATAACATCATATTTATAACACTTCTTTAGATAAAGTAATCCAATAAAGAATATTTTCGATCACAGATGCAATTATAATCATAGTTAGCTCATGTATATCTGGCTCTTTTAACTTTATGTGGATGCCTGCAAATTTATATCCAATATAAAGTATATTTTTCTCTCTTAACTTTTTAAGCTCTTCTCACACTATTGGTAGTTTTTATTATCTCTACTGTTTCTTGTCTTCTATTATTCAGAGCCTAATAACTTACTTAGTTAAAGTAAATTTAAGATAAAAATATCCCTAACACTTAATTTAGTTCATTATAAGAAATAGCGTATTATCTTGGAGGAGGTTGAGCTTCGATATTTTTCATTAGTGGTGCAATAATTGTTTACTAATCTTTGATTCCGGGATAAAATTTGTGTACGTATTTAAGCATCTTTATAAGTTACAGTATACATAAGCGATAACTTACTTCTAATATTTGATGGAAAATTATCAGAGAATTTAAAATCACCTATCGGCTTTGGAATTTGTCTATTTCTTGTTTCGGTGATTTTCATATTACTAGCCCTTCCTAAAGAAATAACTTCTATCAAAGTAACATTCTATGGTTAATATAAATGCAGATAATCAGCTATATTTTGTGCATTATCAACATCGCTATTCCTTTAAATTATCTTGCAGTTATCTACTCATAAGCTGACAAAAATTTAAGAATAAATTCTAACATTGAGAGGTATTTCAGTCCTATCTATAATCTTGGAAGCTTTTTCGCAGTGTTCTAAACTCAAATATACTTTATGTATTACCTCTAGAGCGTCGGTAGAAGAAAAACAGAGATTAAGGCTTTTAAAGTAGGAAATTTTTGATATTATAGTCTAATATTGTAATAGGTTACAATCATTTCAACTTCAGCCATTCTGTTATATTCTATCTACTATGGAGGAATTATGTTTATGCTTTACTAGACTGAAGATAAAAATTAAGAGCCAACAGGTTTTAGTGTATCTGATCTACAAACATTTTTCTTTAAAGTCAAGCCAGGCTACTCTCTGCTTGCTTTGACAATATTGCAACAAATTTTGATCTTTCCTTTTTACTTTTTTATGGCAAAGGAATATACTTTTGTCCTGTATGATGAGTTAAAGAACAGATCACTATCGAAAAAGATTGAATAGCTTAAAATGATGTCATCAATGAAAGATGTTTATACTGAGTTGATGGTAAGGCAAGTAAAAGATGATATTTACTTATGCGTGCGTTAGCCTTATCTAAAGTTAAGTAATAAGGAGTACTACACTATCACCTTACTGATTACCCTACCTATATTTTTATGCAATATATCTTTTATAGCTTTCGGAGAATTATAAAGCAATGCTTTTGCTTTATATATAACTGATTTAATCCTAGCAATATAGTATTTTGTTGTCCCTTTTATTATGATTGTTATTCCAGGATTGCTATACTACAAGGCTGATTAATTGCTCGAGATAAAGTATGATTTCTATTATTGTTATTATTCTCTTTTATAGCTCAAAATTGAGATTTGTGGCTTTATTATGGTGTGGTTTAGGATTTCTTTTGACACTTAGTTTAATGGCTGATGCTATATATTTGATAGTTGTCGCAACAAGTTTTTTTGCGAGTTGAGTTTATTTTAAAATAATATTTTTGTATTATACTTTTGTTATTTGATTTTTAATTAAATTAAGGAATAAGGGGTTTTGGGGTTTTGGGGTTTTGGGG